CTCTAGCCACCAATTGCAAGCCTCCCAGTCAGATATTTATTACTATTGATCTAGCTGGTCCTGGCTGGAGACTTTTGTTCAGCTGGCTACAGGCTCTGACCTCAATTAAGTTATGAATTTCTATCTGATAGACTGGGAGCGCTTTAGCCCTGCCGTGGTCATGCTACCACGCTGGATTAATTAGAATTAGCGGTCCTGCAAGTTGCCCTCCCCTCCTCATGGATCATGTTGTTTTAATACAATGTAGAGGTGGAGGCGGGGAGGGATGGAGTGGACAGGACAGGAGCTTGGGGGGGAGGGGAGAGTGATGAGGAGAGGGGGAAGAGATGTAAAAAAACACAAACACACAAACACAAAAAAACCCCACACAGGAACAAATCAAGTAAAAGCATGTGAGACTATGTTTCCTTCCTGGCATTGTGCTTGTGTTGTGTTAACCTGCATCTCACCTGTCCCTCCACGTTGTCAGCCTAATCCTGCCTACGTCACTTACCCTCTCAGTAATCACACTAAGTCAGATTTGGTGTAAATCTACATTCCTGACCATTGTTATAGCCCGAAGCACCACTAAACCAAAAGCCCTGGCTTTTTAACTCCAGTTCCCACGAATGGGCATGTGCTTTCAGGAAATGCACATTTCCATGGCAACAAAGCTTGTTGTCGAGTTACAGGAGGGTTTGGGATTGCCACCTGAAAAACAAAAGTTGTTTGTGTGTGGAATGAGGCTTAGCTGAGGGTGTGGGATTACAGCGTCTGGACAGAAAACGACCACACAGAGAGCGGACACACACAAACAAACACCTGGACCAATAAGGCGATACACCCTGTAACCTTTAGCTTTAAAAATATATACAGTCATGGACGAAAATATTGGCACCCCTGCATGTCTGTCAGATAATGCACGACATCTCCCAGAAAATTGTTTTAATCACAGTGTCTTTAGTATTCTCAGGTTTATTTCTTTTGATAACATTGGAACAACACAAAAACACAGAGGAAAAAGCCAAACTTGATACATTCCACACAGCAATCCAAAAACAGACTGGGCAGAATTCTTGACATCCTCAATTTAATATTTGGTAGCACATCCTTTGGACAAAATAACTGAAATCAATAGCTTCCGATAACCATCAGTGAGTTTCTTCCACCTCTGTACTGGAATGGTGGACCACTCTTCTTTTGATGCTCCAGGTCTCTCAGGTTTGAATGGTTCCTTATTCCATCTGCTGGTTTGAGATCTCGCCACAGGTGCTTTATGGGATTTGGATCTGGACTGATTGCTGGCCACTTCAGAACTCTCCAGCTCACTGTCTGAAAATATTTCAGGTGCTTCTTGAAGTCTGCTTTGGGTCATTGTCCTGCTGTAAGACCCATGACCTCTGACAGAGACCCAACTTTCTGTCACTGGGCCTTGACTGTAGGGACCGTGTTCTTTTCTTTGAAGGTCTCATTTTGTTTTCTGAAAACAAAATCGAATGATGTGCTCGACCAAAAGGCTGTATTTTAGTCTCATCTGTCCACAGGACATTCTCCCAGAAGGATTGTGGCTTTCTCAGGTACGTTTTGGCAAACTCCAATCTTGCTTTTTAATGTTTCTGTGTCAGCAGTGGGGTCCCCCTGGGTCTCCTACCATAGCGTCCCTTGTCATTCGGATGGCGACGGATAGTGTGAGCTGACACTGTTACACCCTGTGCCTGCAGGTCAGCTTGAATTAGTTTGGAAGTTGATCAAGGTTTTTTATCCACCGTTCGAACAATCCTTCATTACAATATGCCATCTATTTTTCTCTTTCATCCATGTTCAGGGAGATTAGCTACAGCACCATGGGCTGTAAACGTCTTGGCAATGTTGCACACAGTGGACACAGGAACGGCCACATCTCTGGAGATGGACTTGTAGCCGTGAGGTTGCCCATGATTTCCCAGTATTTTGGTTCTCAAATCCTCAGACAATTCTTTGCTCTTCTTCCTTTTCTCCATGCTCAGTTTGGTCCACACGAACTCCAAGCCCTATTTGTAATGTTATGAAAATGGTTTATTTCTTCTTAACTTAAGAGTTTTCACTCCCCACTGAAGTGTTTTCCTCATTAATACTTTTAAAAATGCTTCTAAATACATTCAAGCACACAGAATATAAGTCAAGTGTTTAAGTCATAATTACATTAAGTGAGGTTTTAATATCATCTGTCCCACAGCTTCTGCTCCATTTTGCCTGGGTGTTATTAGCTGGGGGAGGAGTGATAGGGTGAGGATGCAGAAGTGGGGGTGCGGGGTGGGTTAATGTACAGTGTCAGTACCAGGGCCTGATCTACAGTTGGCAGGTGGCAGAGCTGTGATCTGTGTATTCAAACACACACAACTACCTGCTGTGGTCCTTCTCTGCCTTGATCCAGGATTAACTATCAAACAAGCCCCTAATGCAGGTTACCAGGGTTTGGGAACAATTCACTAAAACAATCAGTTGATTAATTTCAAACGATTTTCCTCCTTTGCCAAGCAAATAATAACACTTTTTGTTTTAACTCTCGAGCCCCCTCCCTTTTTTAATCAACAAATTAAGCATAAATCATGTTTGATCTTTATTTGCTCAGCAGTTTGTAGAGGTCAAGAGAGATTACTGGTCCCTCTAACAGCCTGCAAACCCAAACATTCCTCTGTTGCTCTCATGAGCACACACACATAGCATTTGTTTCATGTGACAGTCGCTTTGGACAAAAAGGACAGAAACATCAAACTATCTTTCTCTGTTCTCTGCTACTTTGCTTTCCTTTCTTCATTATCTTCCACACTGATTTAACCCCAAGGAAAAAAGCAACACAAAAGGATGTTCGAGCACATTCTAATGAGAAGCATATCGTTCTGTAAGCTTTACATAGTGAGATAATTTGGCATTGCGACCGAGTGGTATGATTTAGCTGGCTATATTTTTCTCTCAGCCACCTCATAAATCTGCTACCAGTAGCTCGGCTGCAGAGGTCCAGTTTCTTTAATATTCAGTCTTCCTCTGACACCTGAGAGCCAACCAGGTGGAAAGCTCCTAATACAAGCTTGAATGCATGAATTCAGATGATGGCTGTTCTCTGACTGGCAACAAAATTCTGCCGCTAAAACATCATTTTAAGTTATCCGTCCGTTGTGTGAACATGTTTGCTCAAGAAGGCCGATTTTAAAGCAGAAGGCATTTTGAAATCATTTGAAATCTCTAAATAACCGTCACCCTCTCTCTGTATGCTCTAATTAAATGATTCAAGAGGGAAAAGGAATACTGAATTAATTCTCTGTGTGTTTTCATATAAAATGAAGTTGAATCCAAAAAACTGTGAGGGAAATAAGAGTCTACTCAAAATCAGCAAGTAAGGATTTATGTTCCCTACTGTGCTGCTGAAAAATCCTGGCACCTGGAGATATCACTATATATATTCTAATAATAGATACATGACTAAATACGCTACATCTTTCAAATGAACAAAAGCCTATATCTCTACATCAATCCCCCTCTGCTGTCAATGTCTTGATATGGCTTTAAATCATCAGTGAAGTGTTTTGCAGTTATCCCACTGTTAAGTCTTTTATGAGCCATTTGCCACAAATCCACACCCTCCCTGCTGCATTCAGAAAAACAGGGGGGCTACACATGACCACAAAAGAGAAAGTCATTTGTGAAATGTCCTGATTATGTGGGTTGTGCAACATAAAACAATTTGCCTGATTACTTCCAATTGATTCGGCCTTACTGTTAAAGCCTCAGTGTGCAGCCCGGTGAACTGCACTGTGCTGTGCCACTGGGCAGGGAAGAGGAGTAATTTCACCGATGTGCAGCTGAGCCAGCTTACAGCCAAAGCTAAAGCCTTCTTGGGAAGGCTAAACACTAGGTTAGCTAGCGGCTAACTCTGTCTGCTAAAGCCCTGGGGGATTTGTCTGTGGCACAAAGTGAATTAAAGGTGACCTTCTCAAAGGGATAGACAGGACAGTGAGAGAAAAGAGAAGGGCAATAGGGATGCTGGAGATGTCAGTACTTGTCCTGGGTTTGCATGTGTGCAAAAAAGCTCATACAGCTCCTGCCAATTTTCTTTCATCTCTACCCTAATCCCATCTGTTACAAATACTGATATCTGCTGCTCATCCATACCCAAACACATGCTTGACTTCTAGAATAAAATGCAGCCACTAGAATTCAACAAACACATTATAGTTGTTCAAGAGGGCGAATTCAAACCTAGTCCCAGATCATGTGAATCAGTGTTGTACAAGCATGAAAGTTATGTTCATCCACTACATAGAAACAGTGTCCGAGCAGCTCCCAAATTAAGCATTTTATTCAATTTTAAGGGTTGAAAATTACTGGCCCTATGCTTTCAACAACCAAACAAAATTACTTTCGCTTTTTCTTCTCATTAGTTGTACATAAAAACACTAACTACAGAGGAAAAAAAACTTACCGTATGTGAAACTAATAGAAATGCTATTCACATCAGTAATTGGGTGCAGTGGCTATAACCGGGTTATTGGGACTATAAACAAAGGTCAAAGGTTGCTTCAGTTCTGGGATAGTTGCTGATCCTCTTGCCTCCACTGCACAATATATTTTCCCAAAGAGGATCATTCTGGGGTTTTTCTGTCCATATACTATATATATATGTAACACTTCTGAAAGCTGTAGCAATTGAACATTGTAGAAATAAGAAATGAAAAATTAAAAGTATAGGATCAAATAGCCTGAAGCTGCAGTGGGTCTCAGTGACTTCAAATAAACCATTCCAGTGGTTTTCATAAAATTTCAGAGCAAGAGGTGCTAAATATGCTTCTACTTATTCACTTAGTGATGAAATATGACAGCAATGACTGAGTGAATTTGTACATTTTGGGTACAACTGGCAATACCTGGCTACCAGTATCAGACTTTCACCAGCAATCACCTGTTGGTAGACTGCGCAATTACATTTTAGGAAAAGCCCCGGAAAACCACTGAGAGAGAGAGAAAGAGACAGACAAGCAGCTCACCTGGCTGTTGATATCTGCTTTGTGCTGAAGTAATACAGACACCAGCTCCTTGTGTCCTCTGTCACAGGCCCAGTGCAGGAGAGCGCGGCCCTGCAAACACAAATACACAAGTGCACACCAGAAGATTACTAGGACCCAGAGGACATGTGCAAAAGTTCAAAAATATCACTATGTGTTCATATTTGTTTTACACAGAAAGCTCACAGACCATTCTCCTCCTCACCTTTCTATTCCTCTACCTCCTGTGCCTCAAAGTTAGCCAGACTTCAATCATTTTCTTTGCTTCCAGACAAAGTAAATTATGCACTACCATTTAGAACTTGGAGCCTTTGGACCTCAGCTCCATAATGACCTGTGGATAGAGTGACGAAATATGTAGACTGCTGTGTGTGTGTGTGTGTGTGTGTGTGTGTGTGTGTGCCAGTAAGAGAGTAGGTGATTCAGGCACAGGCTGAAGGCTCCAGGACAAACTGCAGAAACCTGCACAGTCTGTAACGCTTGATTGATGTGACACAGTGCACAAAACAAGAGCGGCCCTCAACTCCTATCCCACATAGACACACACACATATGCACCATCCTCTCTTTAGGTCTAAGATCCTTGTTCTAATAAAACCATGCAAGCTCATTTTTCAGTGAGGCCAATTAGGTAAAGCAAACTCTCCAAGTCCAATTCTGGTGCTTAAATCATATTGATCACCATGGCTGCATGTTAAAATGGATACTTATGAGCCAGCCCAGAATACCAATAAGTTGGTGTCTCTCTCTCTCCCCTTCTCTTCTCTTTTATTCCTGCTCTCTATCAGGTGTGCTACTGCTGACTGCTGCCCACATATTCACAAAAGACCAGAGCTTACTACTTCCAACAGGACACTGCACAAGCTCAGTATGAAGTGGGCTTATGGGGTGTTGCAGTGATTAATAAGAGCCTGAATGTGTCAAACAGAAAAAGTGCAGCTTTCAAGAAAGGAAAAAAAGACCTTTGGCAAGGTTTGATCTTTAGAAAAGACAGCACTATAAAGGGCTGAAGCAGCCCTAACCGGGAAGTTAAACAATAGGCAATCAATGTTAAACACTCTCTGCTCAAGGGAGAACAAAGTAAAAGCCTTCATTCTCATCATTTGAGAAGAGCTGGGCAAACTCCTGCTTACTGTGGAAGATGGCAGCACAGAAAGATTAGCAGTTACTAGCCACAGTAAAAGAAGAAACAGCTCTGACAGGACACACAAATCGACACAACATCCTCATCTTGGTGAGCAAGACAGCAGGTGTGAATACCTCACTGCTTCTGTCCCCTTTTCTATCTTTCTCTCTCTCTCTCTCTGGCACTTACTGTTTTGCATGTTTGAGCTGGTGTGCAACAATAAATGTAGGCAAGTATGCAAGTGACCCACATCTGAAGAATGTTAACATGCAATAAATGATACACTTCATTTCCCTTAGAATATTAAATGCATTGTAAATGTTAAAGATAAGATGAGAAAGTTGCATCCTGAGCAGTTTCTTAAAGGAACTGACAGATGCTTGTTGGCAGATTATTTCTGTTTCAGTTCATAAAAAAATGAAAGGCTTGTGTCACCAACTGTGTTTTCTGTCTTAGGGAACAATTAACATTTAATATATCTATTCAATTTTTTGTCCAAACAATACACAGCGCTGGCAACTATCAGACATATGTAACAAAGCTGGATTTTCTTATTGCAGACTCTAAGAGTGCCTCCTAGGACAGAGCCTCTTTTTGCCCCGGTCTTTCTGAGCTGCAGGAGCAGTAGTGAAACTTCACCACTGCCCTCTGCTGTTGAGCAAGCTGCATTGTGGCTTACCAAGCGACAGTGGCAAGTAAACATACAAAGCTTTCTCTGCTGCCGAGGGCCGTCAACCATCTGGCCTTTGACTGGGAACTCACCAGCGCACTGCCTGCTTATCTGAAGAGTAGCTGTGATGAAAGAGAGGCAGGCAGTGAGCCGTTTGGCCTGGCTGATAATGAATCAAGGACTGATGAACGGATTTCAGGGTCAATCCAGAAAACATCCTGCGATGGTAATAGCTGTTCAAACAAACGGCTGGCTTCATGTCATTGAAATGATGATGCATCAGCTGCAAAAAAAGCTGCGTGCACTGTCTCTGAGTGATATTTCATGAATCTCAACTAATCACGATGCTCCACTGATGCACAAGGGGTCAGAGCACAGGTCCCCTTGCAGCTGGTACGAATTCAGTGCAATGCTAAAAGCAAGATAAACGCTTCCTTAAATGGGGGCAGAACATGACTCCTGTGGTGAGATGTTGATTTCCCTACTCGACTACTGCTGCTCCCTGCTACCTACATTACATACATAGCACAGCATTATCATGGCAATAATTTACCACAGTAGTACCACAAATTGCAGCTGTCACAAGCTATCAGTACAGTGTCCCTTGACATATTTCTAGTGCTGTTTTTAGTAGTTACCTCTTCATCTTTAGTATTGACATCCACTTTCTGGGAGCTGATGGCCTGGCTGATGTGGTCGATGTTATTTTCTCTGCAGTAGTCAAATATGTTTTTATCCTCCTCCCTGAGAGTGATGCAGAAAGAAACAAAGAGAGAGAAAGGGAAATATTGTAGTTAAAGAATTACATCCTATTGTACAGCAGTCAAAACTACAGAGATGTTTGACAGTATGTCTTAAAACCAGGGCAAATAAAACCAAAACTACTGTATGTGCTAGGTACTGTATGGTGTTCTGCATAAATTGGTCATGAAATGTGATCTGATCTTCACCAATGTCACAAATATCAACAAACAATATTTCTAAGCTGATAAAACAAACAGTCATGAGCTTTCATGTCTTTATTGAACACACCCATTAAACATACAAAGTATGGGAACAGTGTTTTAATAACAGGTTGAACCACCTTTGGCAGCAACAACCTCAAGCAAGCGCTTCCTATAGCTTTGGATTAGATCTGCACAACATTCAGGAGGAATTTTGGACCATTCTCTCTCCCAGACCTGCCTCAGCTCAGCCATATTCTTAGGACATCCTGGTCTGTTGAGGTCATTCTACAGCATCTCTATTGGGTTGAGGTCTGGGCTCTGACTGGGCCACTCCAAAAGGTGGATTCTGTATCTCCGAAGCCATGTTGTAGTAGATTTACTTTGATGTTTACTCTCATCGTCCTGCTGCATTGTCCAGCTTGTTCTGAGCTTCAGCTTGTGGACAGCCACCCTGACATTATCCTGTAAGATACCTTGATAAACTTGGGAATTCTTTCTCCCCTCCACAATGGCAAGTGGTCCAGGTCCAGAGGCAGCAAAGCAGCCCCAAGTCATGATGCTCCCCCAACGTACTTCACTGTCGGGATGATGTTTTCATGTTGGTACACGGTTCTCTTAATACACCATATGTAGTGCTGTGTGCTCGTCTCAGACAATTGTACCTACATTTCATCTGTCCACAGGACGTTTTGCCAGTCGCGTTGTGGAGTGTCAAGGTGGTCTTTGGCAAACTTCAGGTGTGCTGCAATGTAGTTTTTGGAGAGTAATGGCTTCCTTCGTGGTGTCCTGCCATAGATGCCATGCCTATTCAATATTTTGCTTATGGTTGACTCATAAACAGAGATGTTAACCAACTCCAATGAATCCTTCAAGTCTTTAGCCGATACTCTAGAGTCCTTTTTACCTCATTAAGCATTCTGCATTGTGCCTTTGCAGTGATCTTGGCAGGGTGTCCATTTCTATGGAGAGTAGCCACAGCACCAAATCGTCTCCATTCATAGACAATATGTCTAACTGTGGACTGATGAATATCTAAAGTCTTTGAGAGGAGTCTGTAAAACCTTTCCAGCAACATGCAAATCAACGACTCTTGATCGTAGGTCTTCTGATATCTTTTTTTTTGCGAGGCGTGGCTCACCTCATCCGATGCAGCTTGTGAATAGCACACCGACATTGTTTGAGTGTTTTTGTAAGTCAAGGTAGTTCTAAACCACACTTCCATTCTCGTTTCGTTGATAGGACCCCAGGTTTGCCAGTACCTGATGTTTGTCACCTTGACGTTTAGTGACATCAGAAGCCGAGTGCTGCCATGACTTTTTCCCATCCCTTTGTATATTTAATAGGTATGTTTAATAAGGACATGAGTGGTCATGCCTTTTTGTGTTTTATCATCTTAGAAATACTGTGTTTGTTAGTATTTGTGACTTTGGTGAAGATCAGATCACATTTCATGACAAATTTATGCAGAAAACCAGGAAATTGCAAACAATGCCTTTATTTTTTGTTGCAAGTGTATGCGTTTTGTAATTTGTGCAAATTGACCATTTAACTGCTTTGTGTATCCATTCAAATGCTTGTGCACACCTAGGAAAGCAGACACCATGTCACTACAGCATTTAGACAGACACTCAGATAATTTGGACACACACTATTCTCCCTGCCTCACACCACACACAAGCAGCAGCCACACATGCCTCATCCCTTGGGGACTCTAGCATGTGACACACAGAGCGGCACCATACGACCACAGATTATATCTCTGTGTCTGTAATCACCTCGTGGCATTGGGGACAGGAGTGAGTTGTGGAGGGTGGGTTGCTGTGTGAGGGGGAGAGAAGAGGTTAAATCTCATTTAGAGCTTTACGCCTTCCCCTCCTTCTTACCCATGCTGGCCATTCAGATAATTGAATTTAGTGCTCTATTGTATGACAGAAACCCCACATACTTGCTGCTTTACCACTCCCACACAGTAAGTCAGTCATCCCACAAGGCCAAAGCCCCAGGTCCTGTCTGTGATGTCTGGGCCTACAAGCCTCACAGCACACACCTGCTCCAGCCACACAGGAGCCACCATGGGCTGTTGCTCCATGAAGACTGAGGATGTTGCTTAGTTTGGTGGGGAGGGCACAGCCTTAACACTTTATTTATTATGCGATGTACCATACTCCTTAGCCTGTTAAAACAATGGAGTTCAATAAAATAATATCAAATCTAAAAAAATAAAAAATAACCCTAGCGATTTCACTGGGATTATCTAGGCTTGTACTTGAAGCCACTTGTATTACAGGCTGGATATATTTCTTAACAGTTCGAGCTCCTCAGTCACAGTGACAGCCAGTGCCCTACAATGTGAGCTACAGTTTGGTGCAAAAGTTTGCATTCCCTTAATTTGAAATAGCAAAAAAAAAAAAAAAAACATACAAGATTTTTGTTCTCATCAACATAATATTAATGCACATTGAGCTAGTATAAAGGTTCCTTCATCAACAGAAGTAACAAAAATGGTCAGGGAGTGCATAAAAAGAAAGTTATAGTAAAATAATGAAAATCATATCAGTGCAAAAGTTTGCAATCCCCCTCCTCTCTAACCTCCTCCAACCTCTTTGGGCCTCTGAGCAGCCTTTGTATCTTTTCAGGTGTAATTTTAGACCATTCTTCATGGCATACTTGTTTCAAGTCTACCGATTGCTTGGTTGTCTGCTATGTACGACCCTCTTCAAGTCGGTCCACAGGTTTTCTGTTGTATTTAAGTCTGGAGACTGGGAAGGCCATGATAAAACCTTCACCCTCTTCTTTTTAAACCATTCCTGAGCTGACTGCTCTCTGCTTTGTCTTGCTGAAGGATTCATTACCTCTTCACTTTTAGCTTTCTGGCTGATGGTAGGAGGCTTTGCTTTAAAATCCTCTGATTTTGGGCTGTGTTCATTCTTCTTTTCACTTTATGCAGAGCTCTAGTGCCTGACACAGACACCCCCAAAACATCAGCGAGCCTCCTCCATGTTTCACTGTGGGAATGGTCTTCCTCTCATCACAGGCAGTGTTTGTTCTTGCCACACATACCTGTGTGAATTATGACCAAATAATTCAACTTTGGTCTCATCCGACCACATAATCTTGCTCCTTACCACACTCCAAGTGTGCTGCCTTATGTCTAAAAGTAAGTAAAGGCTTCCTGTGTGCTTTTCTCCCAGACAATCCAGTTGTGCAGACTACACTTGACTGTGGAAATGTGGAATCTTATTCCATTTGTCTCTAAGGACTTTTTCAGGTCCCCTGCTCTTTGTTTTGAATTCTTACACAACTCTTGAGCACGTTTCCTAGCACCTCTTTCAGTTATGGCATCACTGAAAACCAGTGAATCGATTTGAAGAGGGCTGTACATAGCAGACAACCAAGCAATCTGGTAGACTTGGAACAAGAATGCCATGAAGAATGGGCTAAAATTATACCTGAAAAGATACAAATGCTGAACAGAGAGTATCCAGAGAGGCTAATGAGAAAAAAAAAATGTTTTTGCCATTTTAAAGTAAGGGGATGAAAACTTTTGCACACAACTGTACACTCCAGGGAGATAAACCCTTCCTGCCCTCAGCACTGACACTAACTGCAGATAGTTTCCCCTGCTGTTTGTACTGTAATGAATCTCTGTACCACCCTTTCTTCATCTTTTCATCTAAAGGCTTTCTCTCCCCTTGTCCTCTGATTTCTGCCCTCCCTCTCTGTGCTGTCTGCTCATCAGCCCGTGATGAATTATGAATAACTCATTACACTTTTATCGCAGCTAGGATATGTATGAGCACATTCATTTACATACCCCTGATTACCAGAGCTATGTTTATTCATGACTCTCCAACCTGGGCCACACCCACTTCCTTTTCTGATAGCCACAGTGACCCCGAATGTCCCTGATATGTGGCCGCCATCCATCTCCCCCGGCAACTAATCAATAGGGCAGATCATCAGTCTTGCGTTGATGGTCAGACAGGGCTGGTCTGACAGGTGCATGACACATGCTATGAGAAGCGCACACACACACACACACACACACACCCCAAATATGTAGTGTAAGGTTATATAATATACCATATCACTAAAATAAGCTCTAATACAAATGGACACACACAACCAACACCTCTATGCAGTCTGAACCAGAGTTACAGTAGAAATAAATCTAGAGACACACAGACAACAACACACACACAAGCTGTAAACAAACAAATGATTAATGTGAGTACTTTAAATGACATGACATCAACAGCACCACACTGCATGCTGGGAAGGTCACCGCAACAGCTGCGGTACTAAGGGTTTGGTATGTGTGATTGTGTGTATGTGAGAGAGCACTCGTGTGTGTGTGTGTGTGTCCATTTTGGTGTACTGGCAGATATGTCCTTCATCCATCAGGCTAAACAGTGGTGGAGAACACTCATCTACCTGGCCTGAGCTTCAGTGATCAGCATCACAGCCACACCATCCATCTCTCACACAATCTGTCACTGCATCTCCTATAGAACCCTGGTCTACACTCAACATGGCTGCGCTCCATGGAAGTACAAGAAACAATGAGAACTCAGCACTGGCTTCCAGCAAAGCATCCGGATGACAAAGCCTCCAGTGTTTATCGGAATCCTTTATCAAGGTGGGCAAGAGAATTACAAATGTAGAATTCAAAGGGTGCTCAATCACACACTGATCAGCTCAGTAGCCCAGGGATATTGCTAATCAATCCTGCTTTTGTCAATACAAACACACATACACACTCTCGGCAATTGAGATGAGCAGTGAGCAATGCAATTAACTCTCTATCTGGTTAACAGGTGCTTAGCTGTTTAATATGGAGTGGCTCTGTGTGTGAGAAAGAGGAAATTGAAAAGCAGCAGAGCAGTGAGTGTGACAGTTCCAGCAGGTTATGCGTGAATTAGGATGCAATCGTGTCAATGTATAGCGGCGGGTGTATGTTTATTCGTGCACACATGTGCATAGGTGTGTGCACGTGCCATGTTAATGGCTTCCTCCTTCCTGGTTTCCCCTCAGGGCATTGTTGCTTCAGGATACCACTAAGGGGAGCATCGTTCTGGGAAACCTGCTGTACCTGCCTCCCTCTGCTCTAACTGATAAGTCTTCATTCCCCCCACCTTCTTCCAACAAGTCCCCGAATCGTAACGTAATTAAAAAAGGGGAGACTCTGGCCGCCTTCTTCTCAAGACTGTGCATACTAATCACATACAGCCATTTAGGAGGAAAACCTGCAGGATTCACACATCTCATTTTCATCTCCAAAAGAGCTCTTTTTTCATTGAAATGATGATGAGTTTTTAAGCTTGAGTAAGTCTGCCAGGCAGAAGTAAATGAAGAATATATTTCATTAACATAATCAGAACAGTCTCCGGGCCCTAACTGCAGTTATGGTCTGTTGAACATAATCAAAAGCAGCTTCAAGACCAGTGGTTAACAATGCCAGTCAGACTCTAAGTTGATCTAAGCATTAAACAAATGGCAACTCACTACTGTAGGAAAAGGGTCGCAGCACCCACATGAGTTGGGGAATGCGTTTAGGGTTGTTGGCAACTACAAATATAACCTGTGAAACCCTATAACACACTAGTGTGTTCAATAGGCAATGTGTGCATATCTGCGGCCAAATGTATGTGTTTGTGTTACTTCTGATAAAAATACCTGATCATCTCCTCCTGGTATAGACAGCTGACTGCTGCTCCTCCGAAGCCTGTTCTCCTTTCTGCTCCTCGTCTTTCCTGTTAATACAGAACAGTCATATAATAAATATCCGCTTTATACACAGTTAGAACCTAAATGTGGTACTTACAATACAGATGACAATCATTGTTAAAATTGTTTCTTGTTCAGTGTTAGTGTCACACCAACCCAGTCCAGTTTGGCTTAGTTCTGCAGCCTGCGTTGCCATGCCATATGGAATAAAGCCACTGCCCCGACTGTTGGTGTGCACTACAATAGGGCTGAGCTAATCTTTTCACTGCAAATGGCTGTACCTATAGCCTTCACCTATACCTGTTGGAAAGCTAATGCATAACAGAAGTAAAGTTCAAAATGTGTAGTTGTCAGGTACAAGCATGAAAAATCCAGGGCTTTGGACATGACATCATAGGCACTAAAAGCCCAACCACATGCACAAGAACAATAAAAAAAATACTGCATATGACTTCTGGTAATCTTCTGTTTTCATTGAGTTCCATATTACATCCAGTTCACCCAAGACTTTATTATCCAGCCTATTCTTTACTGATCAACCTTGACTCACAAAAGACCCCACACAAATCTGATTTCAGAAAAATGGGGAAAGATGGGGAGAACATGACAAGCGAAGCAAAACAACTGTGCATGCACTTTTGGGACAACCTAATTCACTTCAGAAACTCAGAATAGTCGCCGATGCACTGGCCCTGTTCCTCTGCAGTATAATGTAATATAAAGCTGGTGTCTGCTCAACAATTGTGGTAGGAACAGAGGTCAAATTCTGGCTATTATTCTCTCCCCTGCTTCTCTGTCTATGCACTCTTACTTACACCATTTAACTGTGCTTCCAAAAGAATAGCTGCTGCCATGCTACGGCACTTTGGTAACACTAATACAATAAGCTTGCTATCGGGGGCTGGGGGAGGGGGCATTGACCTGTCTACTGGACTCTCTCCTGGCATTGTGTGGCTGGGGGGCAGAGTCAGCGAGTATTGCCCCACACCATTGCAGGAAAGAAAAGAATGTGTCAGGATTAGACATGCGGTAGGCAGTGATGCTATTAAAGTGACATAAATACTGTATGAAAAGAAAGTTAAAAAAAAAAGGGGGGGGGGGGAAAAAAAAACGAAGTAACAAAAACA